GTGCCGCCGGCGATTGCGGCCCGCAAGAAGCGCGTCACGATGCTCAGTTGGAACCACTTTGTGCCGGCGTCGGACGAAGAGTTGCGCCGTCAGGCCGCCGAGTTCAGCGAAATCTATGGGGCCAAGGTGCAGGTGGACACCATTTCTCACCTGCAAATACCGGCCAAGCAGGCCGCCGAGGTCAACGCCCAACGGGGTCATGACATCATGATCATGGGCGGCGCTTTCCCTTGGCTGTACGAAAAGCAGCTCCTGCCCGTGGACGATCTGGTGGACGAATTGGGCAACAAATTGGGCGGCTGGTACCCGTTCTGCGAACAGAATTTTCGCGTCAAGGGCACATGGCGTTCGGTACCGTGGTTCTGGGTGTCATTTCCCGGCACGGTCAACCAGGCACTGTTCGCGCAGCATGATCTGGCGTGGCCCGACACGTGGGCCGACGTGCTGGCGGCGGGCACCAAGCTGAAAAAGGCCGGGCACCCGGTCGGCATCGCCATCAGCCATGCCGGCGACGCCAACACGACCTTCTGGTCGATCAACTGGTGCTTCGGCGGCAAGGTGATCGACGAAGAGGGACAGGTTGCCATCCGCTCGCCGCAGACGGAAGAGGCCATGGAGTTCTACCGCGAGCTGTTCGACAAGGCGATGACCGATGAAGTTCTGGCCTGGGATGACGCCAGCAACAATCGCTTCCTGCTGTCGGGCAAGGGCTCGTGGATTCACAACCCCATCAGCCCTTACAACGCGGCGCTGGCCAAGAAGATGGACATCGCCAAAGACATCAACCACCATCCCACGCCGGCCGGGCCGGCAGGCCGCCACAATGCGCCGCCGATCGTCAGCCTCGGCATCTGGAAGTTCGCGCGCAATCCCGAAGGGGCACGGGAATTCCTCCGTTACCTGTTCGAGCCTGAGAATTTCAACAAGTGGGTGGTTGCCAGTATGGCCTTCAATCACGGCCCGGTGCGGGAATTCGAGACGCACCCCATTTGGGCCACCGACGAGAAACTCAAGATTCTGCCGCTCGAAGGCGAATTTGGTCACCCGCGCGGCTGGCCGTATCACCCGAACCCGGAAGTGGCGCGCATCGACGAAGTCTACGTGCTGCCGGACATGGTGGCCAAGGCGATTCGCGGCAAGAACGTCAAAGCCGCCCTGCAGTGGGGTGAGGATCAGATCCACCGCATTATGAAGAACACGCGGGAGAGAACCGCGTAACGGCAGGCTAAAAAGGATGGCGGGAACGGCTGGTCGTGTCAGATACGGCCAGCCGTTTTTTCTGGCCGGGATCACGGTCTTACAGGCGTGCCTGTGGGGTCACCGGGCTCCGGCAGCCGGTGGATACGCACGTTACCCTCGCGCAGGGTTGGGAAGTGTTCCCGTAAGGCAGCATGGGCCGAGTCATAGCTGCGAAAGCCGTAGGGCGCGCCACTGGCCTTCCGCACCGTGCGCCAGCCTTCCAGGCCATACCCGTGATGCGCCATTACCTGGATGACGTAGACGTCCGCCATGACGTTCCCCGGCCCCTATTTACTGGCGAAAGCCTTTTTCATGGCCGCGGCCGCTTCAGAGACGGCTTGGCCGGCTTTGTCGACTGCACCGGACATGCCGAAAAAGCCGTGGATCATGCCGTCGTAGCGGGTGCAGGCAGTGGGAACGCCGGCGGCTTCGAGGTTTTTGGCGTAGGCCTCGCCCTCGTCGCGCAGCGGGTCGAATTCCGCGGTGATGACCAGCGCCGGGGGCAGATTCTTGAAGCTCCCGGCCCGTGATGGCACGGCGTAGGGGTGATTCGGGTCGTCGGAAGCGCCCAGATATTGATCCCAATACCACTTCATGCCGTCGCGGGTCAGCAGGTAGCCATCAGCGTTGTCCACGTAGGAAGGCGTCTCGAAATCGAGCGAGGTCATCGGATAGACCAGCAGTTGGAACGCCAAGTCGGGGTGGGCGCGGTCGCGGGCCATCTGTGCCACCACGGCAGCCAGGTTGCCCCCGGCACTGTCGCCGCCAACCGCCATGCGCGAGGCGTCGCCCTGGATGCTGGCGGCGTTGTCCGACGCCCACACCGTGGCTGCGTAGCAATCGTCGCACGCGCCAGGGAACTTCGATTCCGGCGCCAAGCGGTAATCCACCGAGATCGTCACACAGCCGGTTTCGACCGTCAGGTGCCGCGCCGTGGCATCCGCGGTTTCGAGATCGCCTACCACCATGCCGCCGCCGTGGCACCAGATCAGAATGGGAAAGGGGCCCGTGCCCGCCGGCGTGTAGATGCGAACCGGCACCTCGGCGTCACGCCAGGAAACGGTGCGGTCTTCCACCTTGGCGACCTCCGGCCCATCGATGCGCGGCCGGTTCTTCATGTTCTCGCGCGCCTGCTGCGGGCTCACCATGTGATTCGGGGGCAGACCCAACGCCGCCAGTTGATCGAGGACTTGTTGGGCTTGCGGATCCAGTGGCATAACTCACCTCTTAACAATGGGTTGACAACGCTCGCTGGCGTTTGGAATGGGTGTGGGTTTTGATAGCGGCCACTGTAAACCACACCCTGATAGAGGTCAACGTGCGAAGGCAGTGACGGCAATGGGCAGATGTTTAAACAGCAATGCTCTGAAACTGTTCCAAGAAAGGAAGTCATGTGACACTTGAAAACGGCACGATCACGACGACGGCAGGCATCGGGGACGCCGGATACGACGGCGACGGCGGCCCGGCCGGTTCGGCCCGACTCAACGAACCCTTCATGTGCGTCTTCGACCGGCAAGGCAACCTGTACGTAGCGGAGGCGATGAATCACTGCGTGCGCCGCATCGACGGCCGCAGCGGCGTGATTACCACCGTCGCTGGAACGGGCGAACTCGGCTATGGCGGCGACGGCGGCCCGGCGGCGCAGGCGACCCTGAACCAGCCTTATGCCCTGGACATCGCGGACAATGGCGACCTGTACATCGTGGACCGCTTGAATGCCGTCATCCGTAAGGTGGATGCGGCCAGCGGCATCATTTCCACCGTTGCCGGAACCGGAAGGCCGGGATTGAGCGGCGACGGCGGCCCGGCGACGCAGGCAGCCCTGCGGGAACCCAATGATTGCTTCCTCGACCGGCACGGCGGCCTGCTCATCGCCGACGTACAAGATCATCGCGTCCGCCGGCTGGACCTGGCTACGGGCATCATCACCACCTTCGCGGGCAACGGTGACAAGGCACGCGTCGGTGACGGCCGCCCCGCCACCGAGGCCAGCATCCTTGGCGCGCGGGCGGTGTGTCAGGATGGCAGCGGCAACACCTACATCTGCGAACGGGAGGGCAACGGGGTGCGCAAGGTGGGTGCCGACGGCATCATGTCGACCTTCGCGGGAGCCGGCGAGCGCGGCTACAGTGGCGACGGCGGTTCAGCACTGACGGCGACGTGGGGAGCGCCAAAAGCCCTGCGTTGCGACCTGCAGGGCAACGTTTTGGTGGTGGACACGGAAAACCACGCCATTCGACGCATTGATGCCGTCACGGGCGTTGTCACCACCGTGGCTGGTGGGCAACATGGCGGGCACGGTGACGGTGGCCCGGCGACGGCGGCAGGACTGGATCGCCCGCACGGCTGCTGCGTCGATGCACAAGGCAATCTTTACATCGCCGATAGTAACAACCATCGCGTACGGGTTGTGAGGTTTTAGTGGCTGCGAGATCAGTCGGACGGTAGTTCGTCGAGGCGGCGCAGGACACGGCTCTCACGCAGCCGGTCGCCGGCGCCGCTGACGCCGCCGGTGGGCTGGAAAAATTGGGATTGCCGGGCCTCGGCGAGGTGATAAGCCAGGAGTTCTCCGGCCAAGCAATAAACCAGCGGCGCAAACAGTTCCGGCACCGGTTGCGGTACCGGCAGGAAGGTATCCACGGCAACGGGGAGGGACGCGGGGTCGCCATGCGCGATCACAAGTGTGCGGCGTCCGACTGCCTTGACGTGGGGAAGTAATTCCAGGGCCCGGTCGAGGCTGCGGCCCGGCGGTACAATCAGGCAGGTCGGCGTGGCCTCCCGGGCTGTCGAAGAATTGGATGTGCCCCCACTCCTCGATGTCCTGCCCCCAGGCATTGGTCCCGCAGCTTTCCACCAGCTTTGGCGGCGCTGAACAGCGCCGTCGCATAGTTCGGTCCGGAACCCAGGAATACCCAGTCCTCATGCTCGCTGAACCGTTCAGCCGCCTCACGTGCCGGGGCGTCAACGGCCTCGATCGTTGCCGCCATGCAATCAGCAACCTCGACCAATCGCTGCCGCCAGCGGTCGGCCTCGGCGGCGGATAGCACCTGCCGCAGCTCGCCGACCCGTATCGCACACAGCAGCAAGCTGACGAGCTGAACCGTGTAGGAGCGGATGCCCGGTGCCCGTCCCATCGGCGCAATGGGAACGGTAACAGTTGCCGCCGCTTCCCGCGCGATGCCGCTTTCCACATTTCCCGTCACCGCCACGGTGTCCAGGCCAGCCGCCCGCGCCAGGGCGACCGCCTCAATTGATCGCGCGACCTGTCCGGAATTGGAAATGCCGAACAATCCGGCCGATGTCGGTGCCTGATCCGCCTCGTAACGCGCGAACGGCATCGCCGCGAGCGCTTTAACCGGCAGGCGGCAAAAACGCGCGAAGGCCATCTCGCAGGCCAGCCCGGCGTAGAACGAATCGCCGCAGCCGGCCGTGTAAATGGCCTGCCAATGCTGCGGCTTCACGTCGCACAGGGCGTCAGCCACTTTCTGCGCCGCTGGCTCGACAATATCGCGCAGCAAGGCCGGCTGGCTCATGATCTGATCCCGCATCACGGTGCGAGGGGAGGATTCGGCAGCCATCGAGGGTCTCCGGGAATGCGCAGGGTCTACGTGTGATTGAGCTTCGGGATGACGTGCTTGCCGAACATCTCGATGGAGGACATGACCTTGTCGTGCGGAACGGTCTCGGTGGCCATGAGGAACTGTAGCTGGTCAACGCCGGTGGCGCGGTGCAGCTCGATGGCCTTGAGGCAGCTTTCCGGGTCGCCGGAGACGGTGACGGCGCGGTCGGCCAGGGTGTCGGCGTCGAATTGGTTCCAGATGGCGTTGGCGATCTGCGCTGAGCCGCCGGACAAGTCCACGCCGGTGTCTTCGCCGTCTTCCTTCTTGATGTAGCGAGCGAAATTGGCTTCCAGGTGCTCAGGCACGCCGCCCCACGACTCGATGAGGCGCTCGTACACGCCTACCTGATCTTTCAGGTAGGGACGGTCGGGGCCGAAGAAGGTCTTGAGCGATTGCGCTGCAAGTTCCCGTGCCGCCTGATTGTCCTCACCGCAAAACGCCATTGTGGCGCTGAGCCACTGGTCGTTGACGGCGCGCCCGACCGGCTTGGCATGTTGGACATTTTTCTTGAATTCCTTGACGTGCTCGGCCAGGGTCGCGGGGGCGGCAACGCTCAACGCCATCACGCCAATCCCCTTCTCGGCCGCCAGCCGGTAGGTCGTAGGTTGCAGGGCCGCCACCCAGATCGGCGGGTGCGGCTGCTGGTACGGCTTGGGACGCACGTCGCGCGGCGGCACGTTCCAGAAACGGCCTTCCCACTCGAACAGCCCGTCCTCCCAGATCTTGGGAATCATGGACAGCGATTCTTCCCACATATCTCGGGTGTTGCGTGGGTCGATACCCATGCCCGTCTGCTCGTACGGCGCCGAGCGCCCGGTGCCGAAATCGACCCGGCCGCCGGACATGTGGTCGATCATGGCAACCCGCTCAGCCACCCGCACCGGGTGATGGTACGGCAGAATGACGACGCCGAATCCGAGCCGGATGCGCTTGGTCAGACGGCTCAACGCCCCGAAAATAGCCTCGGGACACGGTGACATCGAAAAGCCGGTGAGAAAGTGGTGTTCCACGAACCAGATGGTGTCGAAACCCATTTTGTCGGCCAGAACGCATTGCTCAATCGTTTCTTCGATCACTGCGTGGTCGTCAACGACCGGCCGCTGCATTTCGTATGCCAAGCTCAATTTCATAATCGCATTCCCCTCAGAGAAACGTCGCCTCAAGAAAAAAGGAACCAATCCTCGGAAACCGTATTAACGGCGAAATCTGCAAGGTCCGGCAGGGGATTCTCGTCAGCCGCCAATGCCTGCAAGGAAGTTTCCAGGGCTCCAGCCAAAAGCCCAATGGGCTGAATCGGTGCTTCGCCAATACCGCCGAGTTGACCGCATTTTTGCAGCGCCTTGTGCCATTGACCCCGGCAGCCTCGCCGATTGCCGTTGGTGTAGTGGTAAGCGCCAACCGCCAATTGGATCATCGCCTGCCAGAACAGGCGCTGGCGGCCCCGAAGCCCTTGCCAGACCTCCTCCCACGAATCGTGTGCGGCAAAGTAGTCGGCATTGCGAAAGTGCGCCAAGCCGTTGCGGAGAGAGGCTATTTCATCGACCTGCAAGGACATCGACGGGCCGTCAGAGGAGTGAAGGTTGACGAGTGAAAGCGGGCACAGGATAGCACGCGCCGACCGGCACGGGCAACGGCTTCGGCGAAGCGCCGCACGACGGTTGGCTGTGGTAGTATGGTTGCCCTTCTCGACAGTCAAGATGCCCTGATGAAAGGAATCTCCGCATGTCCGAGCCGCGCGTCGCGCCGTACGTCTGGGTAACCTGGATTTCCAAGTTGCTCGCCGGTGACGCTCACTGCGCCTGGGCCGCCTGGTTTCGGGCGCATCATACCTATGACCGGCTGCCGAGCGATTTCCGACGCCGCCAAGTGGGCCAGTGAGCACACCGCCATGGTACGCGAGCAGGCCGAAGCCCTGCGACAGGCATCGTTTTCGGTGTCGCTGGAGGACCAGAACGCTTTTCGGCTGCAGGGGCAACTGGGCGTCACCCTTGGCGGCAAGCCGGACATCGTGGCTTGGAGAGACGGCGAGGTGCGGGTCGTCGAGTGCAAAACCGGCCAGCCGCGCCACACCGACACGATTCAGGTGATGATCTACATGCTCGTCCTGCCACACGCCCAGCCCGTTTGGCGAGGGCGGGCGGTGAACGGCTGCGTGCACTATCAGACCGGCCCCGTGAACGTTCCCACCGAGGCGCTCGACAGCGGCTTCAGAGCGCGTTTCCGGAAAATGATGGCGCAAGTGGGCGACAGCGCGGCGTTGGAGCGCGTGCCTAGCTTCAACGAGTGCCGCTTCTGCGACATCGGCCGGCTCGATTGCCCCGAACGTATTGAGACCCAGCCGGACGACGGCGCCGCCGATCACGATCTGTTCTGACCCAGCCGTCAGGGGCGCGGCTCTACCAGTAGACGGCCGGTGATCTTGCCTTGCAGAATGTCGTCGATGGCCTGGGGAAGTTCAGAGAGGGTGATGACGCGGGCGAGCTGCTGCAGATGACGGGGTTTCAGGTCCGTTGCCAGCCGCTTCCAGATCGTCTGGCGGTATAACATGGGGCAAGCCACGGAATCGATGCCGAGCAGGTTGACGCCGCGCAGCAGGAACGGGATGACGCTGCCGGCAAAGTCGTGCCCGGCGACGAGGCCGCAGAGTGCGATGTTGCCGCCGTGCTGGGTGGTGAGCGGATCAAACCGCTGAGCGTCGAGCCGCCTACCGTGTCCACCGCGCCCGCCCAGGTGCTCTTGAGCAAGGGGCGCGGCTTCGGGTCGGTCAGGCTCACGTCATCGCGGCTGAGGATCTGGCTGGCGCCGAGTTCCTGCAGCAGGTCGTGCTGCTCGGGCTTGCCGGTGCTGGCAGCCACGGTGTATCCCTGCTGGGCCAGGATGTCCACGGCGATGCTCCCTACCCCGCCGGTGGCGCCGGTGACCAGAATCGGGCCCCGGTCCGGCGTCGTACCGTTGCGCTCCATGGCCAGCAGGCACATGGCCGCCGTAAACCCGGCGGTGCCGAGCGCCATGGCCTCGAAATCGCTCAAGGTGTCGGGCATTTTGACCACCCAGGCGGCCGGTGCGCGCGCGTATTCGGCGTACCCGCCAAAGGACCCGACGCCGAAGTCGTAGCCGGTAACGACTACCCGATCCCCTACCCCGACGTCCGCCGACTCGCTGGCGACAACTGTTCCGGCGGCATCGACGCCGGGCACGTGCGGATATTGCCGCACGACGCCGCCCCGTCCGGTGGCGGCCAGCCCGTCTTTGTAGTTCAGGGACGAATACGCCACTTTGATCGTGACCTCACCCGTCGGGAGGTCCTCAGGCGACAGGGAATCGATGCGTCCCTCAACTCGGTCGTCCTGCTTGTCAACCACGTATGCCGTGAAACGGTCCTTCAAGATTTCGCCTCCCTGGGATGGTGTCGGCCTGCCTTTGGGTCGGTAGGGTGTATGCAAACGGCGCAGGGTTTTAGCACCCGCACCCTATGGTGTCAAGGTTGGGACACGCCTGAACAAACGGGGGTTGACGCCGGGCTCGTGATGGAATCCCTACCTCAAGGAAAGTCCGAATCAATCGTCACAGGAGGAGCCCGATGGAACCCCGGATATCCTTGATCACCCTCGGCGTGGCGGATCTGCAACGGTCCATTGCCTTCTATCGGGATGGTCTCAAGCTGCGTAAACGTGACGAAGACTCGGAAAACATCGCCTTCTTCGAAACCTCGGGCACCTGGCTGTCGCTGTATCCGCGCGAGGCACTCGCCGAAGATGCGGGAATCGCATCCGAGGGCACCGGTTCCCGAGATTTCACGCTGGCCCACAACGTGCGCTCGCCGGAAGAGGTGGAGCGGATTCTGGAGGAGGCGTTAGCCGCTGGCGCCACCCTCGTCAAACCCGGGCAGCCGGTATTTTGGGGTGGTTATTCCGGATACTTCGCCGACCCGGACGGCTTCCTGTGGGAGGTGGCCTGGAACCCCCATTTCTGGGTGGAATAATCGCGCTACTGCCTACAGCAGACGCAACTCCTCAGGCCAGCTGTCGTCTTCGGCCGGGGCGGGGCGAGCGGCAGCATCGGCCAAGTCCTGCATGCGCTCCAGGGCGGTTTGCAGGTCCTCAAACAGGGTGTCCGGCAATCCTGCCGCCGCGAACACGGCCGCATCGAGCCGGCCGCGCTCCGAGCCGTTGGTATGCAGAAATTGGTTATAGGCTCTGTCGATCTGCTGCAGCGCTCGTGGGGTCAGCCGTCGCACGTCAACGACCGGCACTTCTCCGACGCTGCCGGGGCTGAGGCTGTAAACACCGCCGCCGTATACGTGGGCGTTCACGCGCAGGGCCATCTCGGCGATACTGGTATTCAGCACCGCCAGCAGCACCTGTGGCGCAACACCCGTCTGCGGCGTGATCTCGATGAAGTTTTCACCCGCTACCCACCCGGCCTGATTCCATACCACCCGCAGGCGCCGATGCATCCGGCGCGGCAGCAAAATCGGCGCCGTACCGCGGCGTGTAAGATGATCCAACAAGTTATACCAAGGGGTGCGGCCCGTTTTGGCCACACGCGGCAGGTTTTGCACCCCGATGACCGGCTGCGCCTGACCGCGCGGCGTCAACACCTGGTTTTCCCAGTATTCGACGTAACGCAACGCCCGTGTCCCGGTCAGGCGTTCCTTGGTCGCGTTGCACGCCAGTACGTAATGCCGCGCCGACAGGTCGGAACTAAGGCATGCCGTGTCAAAGTCCTTGGGAGACAGTAGCAAGGGCATGAGCCAGCGACGTTCGAGTTGCCAACGTTTTTGGGTAGCGAGCGGCACGACGTAGAACATCTTGGCAAACGTTTGCAGGCCGAGACGCACCCGGGCCAGGGTGCCCAAGGGCGTCAGGCCGGGATGTTCCCGTAACGTCTTGTACACCCTTGGGGCGTAGAGGAACGGGGTCCACTTAACTTCGGGGTTCAACTCGTCCGAGGACAGAATTGTGCCCTCAGCCTGCGGGGAGGTGCCGTCCAGCAACTTGCAGGGATCGTATGGCAGGTTGTCAGGGGGCCTGCCGCTGAGGGAAACGAAAGCAATGTGCTGATGTTTCGGAGTTTCTGGCCCGGCACGCTTTTCGGCTAACAGGACCACAGGCCGAACCCGCACCTGCCGGAAAATCCGCGCCTGAAACCCGAGGACGCCCCGCACCACGAACGTCCGCAACAGGTATTCCTTGAAGGCGGTGCCGTACCGCATGTCCAGCCAACTGTCGGAGAGAATGAGGGCCAGGCGCCCACCCGCCTTCAGGAACCGCGCGCCGTGTATGACGAAATAGCATTGCGGATCGGTCAGGCGCGACAACTTGCCGGCCTCCGGCAACTCTTCCGCGGCGGCTCGCAGGGCCTCCACGTCTCGTTGCTGCCAATTGCGCCCACTGGGCGGATTGCCAACCATCGCATCCGTGGAAGGAAAAGTGGCGGTGAAAAAGCTGCCGGTGCGAATACCGGGCAGGTGGGTTGGCAGGCCGTGAGCACTGAACGCCTGCCGAAGCATCGGTGCGGCGTCTGGACGGGAATCAATGCCGTGAAGCTGATCCGTGAGCCGCTCGGCCGAGGCGCCGAGTGTTTGCAGACACTTGGCGCTTTCCAGCAGGAAGGTTCCGTCGCCGAAGCCCGCGTCAAGAACGTGATCGTCCGCCGACGCAACGCCCAGCGCGCCAGGAGCCCTGCAATGGCGGGCGGTGTGCGAACGAAGGCTGGCGATTTCTGGGCGTTGCTCATTCCGGCAGGGACCCCCGGATGTGGGGAACGGCTTTCGAATACCACTCAGGCGGCAGGAACGGCGGTTTACAAGAACGCCGGGGAGCGCGGACGAGTCGGCCGTTTTCAGGCGCCATTCAGGAAGCCGGTGACTTCCTCAACGAAGCCTGTGGGATTTTCGTACATCGGCATGTGGCCGCAGCGTTGCATGATTGATACCTGCGAGCCACGGATAGAGCTTTGGAATGCCTGGGCATACGCTACCGGAACCAGCCCGTCCGATTGGCCCCAGAGGATCAGGGTGGGCGCCTTGACGCGGTGGATACGTTTCTTCAGGCCCTTGTCGGGAATCGGCCACAGAAACTTGCCAGCCGTCGCCAGATGCTGCATGCGCACGAGGTAGGCTTCCAATTGAGCCTGTTCGTCCTCCGGCACGGCCATCATCGCCTTGGCAACCTCGGATTCGGGGTCGTGCCACAGGGCGATGCCGAGCTGGTCCGGAGTCATGGCGAAAAAATCGGCTACCGGATGTTTGTCCAGCCACAGTCCCACGGCGTTGGCCAGGACCAGCCGCTGCACCCGATGCGGGCTCAGGGCGGCCAATTCGGCGGCGATCATGCCACCCATCGAGTGCCCCACGACGTGCAACGACTCGATGCCCAAAGCGTCGAGCAGGTCGTTGTAGTAGACCACCAGATCGACGACGTCGTCCACGTGCTCAAGGCCGCTGCTGCTTTCAAAACCCGGATGCGCCGGGGCGTACACGGTGTAACGACGGGCCAGTTCGGCCAGAAAGGGGTCCCAACCCCGCAAACCGCCGGCACCGTGCAGGAAGAGCAGCGGCTCGCCGCTCCCACCGGTGCGCAGTTTGGTCTCGAACAACCCATCGCGAACAGTGACGGTTCTTTCCTCCACAACGGTCCTCTCTTTTATGAATATCTTCATGAACGAAATTTGGTTAGCAACCGCAGACGCGTCGCCGTGGCTGACGTACCATAATGACCGGCCAACAGCTTGTCAACGCGGTGGTTCCTACCGCTCTTGCCCCGCCCGGCGGATGACCACCACGCGACCGACCAGCCGCTCCGGCGGCGGGCCCGGAGGCTCAACCAATTCAAGGCGGCGACCGACTCCCTGCAGCAATTGCAGCCCCTGGGAGGTGTGCACGAATCCCTTGGCCCGCAGCATTCCGAGACCCCGCAATCGGGCCAGAAGCTCTTCCGGGTCGACACCGTCCGCAACGGCAACTTCACAGGTCTCAAAGACCTCGTGGTGGTGGGGAGCCGGAGATTTCCCGGCGTTGCGGCGCTGCCGGCGCAAACCGTCAGGGTCGGGCGGAAAAAGCAGCGCCGGCTCCACTTCGCCATGGCACGTGTGCAACACCGGGGTGTCCGGCGCCATGTCATACAACAGCGCATCGAGCCGGTCCAGGTCAGCAGTCGGTGCCAGATCGATCTTGTTGAGCAGCAGCAGATCGGCCGACGACACCTGATCCTCAAAGGTGCCGTGCAGGTCGCGGCCTTCCACAAGCTGCTCGGCGTTGACAACGACAACGGCCATGTCGTCGTCCACCCAGGCGCTCACCGGTTCGCGCCAGAATTGCAACTGCGTGTCGGACGGCAGCGCCACCCCGGAGGTTTCGACGATCACCCGGTCCGGTTGCACGCGCTCCCGCAGCATCTGCAGGGTGTCGCGCAACTCGTCGGACAACTGACAGCAGACGCAGCCGCCCTCCAACTCGACGAACGCCTCGCCGCCCTCTCCCAACAGCGCCTGATCGATGCCCAAGGCGCCAAATTCATTGGAGATGACTGCCACCCGCGCGCCGCTGTTCTGGGCTTCACGCAGCAAATGCCGCACCAGGGTCGTCTTACCCGAACCGAGAAAACCGGACACCACAAGTACCGGAATGCGCTGGTCCGCCGGGTTGTGCATACCTCACCTTCCATCCGGGCGGTTAAACATGCCAGCGCATTTTGACCCAACGCGTCATGTTGTTGGCAGGGAACGTTGATTTGGATTCAACTGTCGTAAAACCGTGGGGGTAACCTGCAGTGATATGGAACTCAGGCGCTCGGTGCAGCCTCCTGCTTGCGGCCTTTCGGGCTCTTGGCCATGCCGCCGTTCCTACGCTCCTGAGCCTTGATGTAGGTTGGCGCCTTCTCCCATGGACGGCTCCGTTGCACAATCTTCTTGCGCATCGTCGTGGTTTCCTTGGAAGACAGCGGTTGAATACGCGGGATACCGAATTTGACACGGTAGGAACGCGCGTCAAGGCTGTGTTCCTTAAGGTGTCTCACCGAAAGCTGCTTGAACGCCGCGCCGCATACCATGCACACGATCGCGTGCTTCTTGATGCTCTGCTTCCAATTGGCAGGAATGTTTTTGGCATTGCTGCTCTCTTGCAGCGCCTCTTCTTTCTCAGCAAATGAAATACCGGTGATGGTTTCTCCGGCATCTTCCTTATTCTTCAATTCAATCAAACTTGCATAAGTCTTCTGTAACTCTTTGTGCATCTCTTCCCGTGGCAGCGCGCCTACCTGGATTTGCGCCATGACCAGGTCCTTAGCCATCTCAATTACGGACTGTGCCATTGTCAAAATCCTCTATAAAGTTCCATGCCTTGCAAATCGAGCCTGTCTACCGTCTCTGCGATAGAAACCGCGAAAAGATATAGTGCAACATTTAACTAAAGTCAAGAAAACGAAACTTCCAAAACAGCAAATGCCCGCTGAATGGCATTGAGAGCAGCAAACACCCGCCCCTTACCTGCTTCCATCTTCTTGCATGACACCGCAGTTGCAAGAAACAAGTTAAAGGACGGCTGATTCATCCCTGCCCCGGCGCGCTGCAAGTCAATAGTCATAAAACGTCGAACGCGCCAAAACAGGTAGTGACAGCAAGCTCAGAACGCCTCGCCGGACGCCGCGATGGCTTCCAACTCATCGCGAGTGTAGGAACCCAGGCTGCGAAAGTCGAACTCGGTGTAATTCTTGATCCATCGCAAGGCAATGGTATACGCCTTGCGGTAGCGCTCGGCGGCTTGGCGCTGCGATTCGCTGTCGGCATCCGGCAGACGCGCGATGATGTCTTCGCACTCTTCCTGAAGCAGTCGTTTGACCAAGGCGAAATCATGCCGCTGACTGGGGTCGGCGCGGTCGGCCACACCATGCAGAATGCGCTGAGCGATCTGCGCCACGGACATGCGTCCGGTGGCCAGGTCCTCCATCAGAGCGGGATGGATGCCCGGTTTGCCGGCCAGGCTGTCGATGCCCTTGGCGCCCCTGCCCTGCAACCAGCCTTCGAGGTATTCCAGAACCATGCGGGCATTGCGGCGCGTGCCCTCGACGGTAACGGGACCATCGGGCACACGGAGGTGGATGGGGTAGTTGTCCGGGTCAGCCATCTCAGCAGACGGGGTCCAGCCCGTGGTGCGGAGTTTCTCAAACGGCTTGGCAGCCGCGTCCATGTGGAAAATATGGGCCACCCAGGCGCGAAGAAACCCCTGCTCCGCCTCCCACTGCTTATCGGCCCGAATGCCTTCCGCGGCCACCTCGTTGACGTGCGGGTCGGAACTCGGCAGCGGCGTCGCCATGCCGCCAATGGGCACGGCGCCGCGTTTCAGACATATGGCCACCAGACGCCGGAAAATGGTAGCGAGAAAGTCCGTGGTCTTGATATCGACGCCGAACCGATCCGGCCACACCGACGCGGGGTCGGCCATTACGTACTCGAAGATGCTCGCCTTGAAATCCCAACGGGCGGCGTTAAGCCCGGCCGCATAGGGACCCAAGGCGTGCAGCATCTCCTCCATCTGGTAGGCGGCGGGCAGCGATTCCACCAGGATGATGGCACGGATAACCGCGTCGCTGAGAAACGGCAGGCAGGCCTGGCTGGCCGCGAAGAAATCGCGCCAGCAGGCGGCCTCGTCGGCCGATTCCAGCTTCGGCAGGTAGAAATAGATGCCCTGGCCCCGTTCGGCTTGCGCCCGTCCGGCATAGAATAGGGTGAGCGCCGTGCCGAGAATCGCCGCCGACACCGGCTTGCCGTCGACCGTGACATCCGGTTCATCGAGGTGCAGGCCGCGCTCGCGGTGCATGAAGAAGGGCAACTCGCCCTCGGCCAGGCGATACTCGCGGCCGCGATCGGGATCGGAAAACGACAGGGTGCGTTCAACCGCCGCCAAGCGGTTCCGCGCCGCCGTCAGCGTATCGATCAGCCGGTGTCCGGCGGCATCCTCGTCGTCATCCAGGTCGCCGACGGCACGCGAGCCCTCCGGTCCGGGATTCAACGCGTTGATGAACATGTGGGTTATAGAGGCGGGCCCCGATATTTCGATACCGGGACGCTTCAGGTCCTCGGGCACCGGCGGCACTTGCCAATCGCCGGTGTTGATGTCCGACACAGGGGGATGGGTGGGGAGGACGCCGTCCTGCAAGGCGCGGCGCAGTACTCGGCGCGGCTCGCGCGCAGCGTTTGGATGCGCGGCGCAAATTTCTCATGCAAGTGCACCAGAAAATCGATAAAGGCATCGCAAAAAAGTTCGGCCGCCCCTGCCACCGGAGCAAATGCCACTCGCGCCGCCGTTCCTGTCTCTGCCATGCAAAAAACCTCCCTGCTCCCTGAGTCTGATTTGGTATCGATGTGGAATCGTGATGAACCGGCCTTGTCCCGTAGACGGGACAGAATGCCGGGGCAAGGCCCGAGCACGCCTTCTGCCTTCGATCATCATAATGGCGGAATTGGCGTTTAACCTAGCATGCGCGTTCGGTTGCCGTCAAAGACGGTCGGCAGTGTCTGATGTGCCGTTCGATGAGTCGAGGTGGGAGGCAAACCATTCGAGGATGAAGCGAAAACGCTCCAAGCGGTGGCGCGGCTTGCCGGCTCGCGACATATCGTGTCCTTCATCCGGGAAGCGTACGAAGCGTACTTCTTTGTGCTGTTTCTTCAGAGCCACGAACAGTTGTTCCGCCTGTTCGATGGGGCAGCGTAGATCGTTCTCGGCATGCATGATGAGCAGAGGCGTTGTGATGTCGGCGGCATACGTCAGCGGCGAGCGTTCCAGGTACCAATCCAGGTTGTCCCAAGGCAGATAGCCGCTCTGTGCCTCGGCAAACGAATGCCCGATGTCGCTGGTGCCGAACAGCGTGTGCACGTTGTTCACCGCGCGCTCCGAGCAGGCCGCCTTGAAGCGCTGTGTATGCCCGACGGCCCAGGTCGTCAGATAGCCCCCGTAGCTGCCCCCCATGACGCCGAGGCGCTGTGGATCGATGAAATCGCACTGCTGGAGGGCCGCGTCCAGGGCCGCCATCACGTCGGCATAGTCCACCCCGCCCCAGTCGCCAATCACCCCACGGGTGAACGCCTCGCCGTAACCCTGGCTGCCGCGCGGGTTGGCATACAGGACGGCGTACCCAGCGCCGCCGTAGACCTGAAATTCGTCGAAGAAATCGTGTCCGTACATCATGTGCGGCCCGCCGTGGATGTTGAGCAGCAGCGGGTAGCGCTTGCCGGGCTCGAAACCGTGCGGCTTCACTACCCAGGCGTCCAGGCCGCAGCCGTCATGTTCGCAGGCGATACGCTCTGGGGCCGACAATCCGACCTCGGCTTTCCAATCACCGTTGAGGTCGGTCAGACGACGCTCGTTACTGCCGTCCGATTCACAGGCGAACACCTCGGCAGGATTCGTCGGATCCATAGTGGTGAAGGCGAGCCGGCTGCCGTCAGCCGCGGCTGACAGGTCGGTGATCTGCCGGGGACCGTCCAGCACGACTTTGGGGGCCTGCCGGGTATTGGCATCGAATTGGTAGGCGTGAACGTCGCCCTGTGTCTGGACGCCAACGGTCAGCGCGCTACCGTCCGCGGACCACAGCGGACCTTGATTTCCCAGCGCGCGACAATTGCGATCCAGGCCACCGCTCAGGCAGACCGGTGTGTCACCGCCGACCGGTACCGTGTACAAACGCCAGTTGTAACCGGCGTCGTAGCGCTGGCGGTGGCCGAGATAGGCAATCTTTCGCCCATCAGGCGAGAAAGTCGGATGCCCCACCGGCCCGGCGGTGTCCGTCAGGCGACGCGGCTCGCCGCCGGCGGCAGGCATGACCCACACGTCCGACGCATCGTCTTCGTCACGCTCGGTGTGGCGCGCCGAGGGGAAGGCCAGCAGCGCACCGTCCGGCGACCATGCTGGTTCGCCGTGGTTGAAATCGCCGTCGGTGAGTTGGTTCACATCGCCGTCGTTCACGTCTACCACGAACAGATGCAAGCGGCGGTCGTAGACGAACCCTTCGCCGTTCATCTTGTATTTGAGGGTCGTAATCACCCGCGCCGGCTTGGAACGCGGTTCCTCCGCCCCGTCCTGCTGCGTCTCTTCGCCGCCCACATGCGACACGAAAGCCAGACGTCTGCCGTCCGGCGACCACACGGGATCGGCAACACCCTGCGCCAGTTCGGTCAACCGCACGGATTCGCCGCCATCAAGCGGCATGAGGTACAACTGGGGACGCTTTTGACCCTGTCGCTGGGATACGAATGCCAGCCGAGTTCCATCCGGCGACCAGCGCGGCGCACCGTCTCGCTTGTCGCCGCTGGTCAAACGGCGCGGCAGTCCGCTATCAACGCCCACTACCCAGATATTGGACAAGTACTGGTCGCGCTCCTCGGACAGCGTCGTCACCACGAACGCCACCCGTCGTCCGTCGGGCGACATCCGCACCTCGCTCACCCAGCGGATGCGGGTAATGTCCTCCGGCGTCATGCCCCGCCGGCGCCTTGCGCTCATACCATATCTCCTTTTTTATCAATCTTCATTCGACGTGCGGGGCGGCACCCTAGCACGCCGTTTTAACGAGTGTCAAACGATCTGGCGTGTGCTACCATGGCCTCCCTCGGGAGCCTGGAACAATGTATCCCGCCGTTCGAATCGGGCAATTTCACCCGCTGAGGAGCGCGTCATGGCGATGTCGAACACAGCCCTTGCCGGCACTCGCGTGCTGGACCTCGGGCGTTACCAGGCCGGCCCCCGTATCGGCCTCGTTCTGGCCCGGCTGGGCGCCGAGGTAATCAAGGTGGAAGCGCCGGGCGGCGACGAGAGCCGCAAAAACGGGCCGTTCGTGCGCGGCCAGAGCGCGTATTGGGTGCAATACAACAGCGGCAAGAAGAGCCTCGGCCTCAACCTGCGCACCCAACAGGGGCTCGACGTGGTGCGCCGCCTGGTCAAAATCTCTGACGTGCTCATCCAGAACTTCCGGCCCGGTACCATCGCTACCATGGGGCTCGGCTACGACCGCCTCAAAGAACTGAATCCCGGCATCGTCATGGTCAACGTGTCGGCCTACGGGCAGTACGGCCCCTACCGCGATCGCATCGGCTTCGACCCCATCGGCCAGGCCATTAGCGGCATGATGTCCCTTACCGGGTTTCCCGGCAACCCGCCGACCCGCACCTACAACCCCGTAATCGATCGCATTACCGCCTTGCACGGCACCATCGGCACCCTGGCGGCACTCCAGGAACGCCACGTTTCCGGCGAAGGCCAGTGCGTTGACGTGTGCCTGGCCGATACCGGCTTCAGCATGACGGAAATCCAGTGCGCCGCGTTCCTTGGCGAGGGCATGGTGCCGGAGCGCACCGGCAACGGCCGCGGCCTGATGAACACCTACGAAACCCGCGACGGCTGGGTGCTCGTCGCTGCTATCAGCGACAACATCTGGCCGCGTCTGTGCGAGGCCATCGACGCCCCAGAGTGGGTGAGCGACGCGCGCTTGAAGACGGTTGACGACCGCGGACGGGCCTGGGAGGTCATCGAGGAACGGCTGCGCCTCTGGTTCGGCAATCGCACGGTGCGGGAATCGGTGGACCGTTTCTCAGAGTTAGGGATTCCGATCAACGCCGTGAACGACGTGCCCTCCGCCGCCCACGACCCCCAGTTTGCACGAGCGCGAACTGCTGGTCGAAGTGAACGACCCCGTCGCCGGAACTATTCACGTCTCCGGCAAGAACATCAAACTGAGCCGCAGCGAAACGGTGGTGGGCTCGGCGCCGTTGCCCGGTCAGCACACCGAGGAAATCCTCACCGGCCTGCTCGGCTGTACCCCACAGGACATCGATGATCTGGAAGCCGCCGGCGCCGTCTATCGCAGCACGCCGCAACCAGTGGATGGTGATTAGTCATGAGTCCCTTGCTATTTCCTATCCACTTACCCCTGCTTTAACGGGAGGCAAGCATGAGAAGCTACCGCTATTCACGCTGGGATGGGACGCAGGAATCGTTGCCGGTCGACGGCGAAGACCTGATGGAGGCCATGGCGGACGATTTGGCGTCGCACGGCGACCTCCGTCAGGCGCTGCGCAATCTGATGCAACGCGGCATGCAGGGGCGCATGGGCAGCGGCTTCGAGGGCATTCGGGAGATGATCGAACGCCTCAAGCAGCAGAGCCGCGAACGCCTGGAGCGTTATAACCTGGCGTCGCTCGTGGATGAATTGAAGGAACGTCTGGACAACATTATCCAGCAGGAGAAGGAGGCGCTGAGCCCGCCGCAGCAGCAGGGGCAACAGGGCGATGAGGCCGCGACTGGCTCTCAGGCCTCCGGCGAGCCGGCGGATGGAGCCGAGCAGCAAAGCGGCCAGGGGACACCCGAGGCATCGGGTCAATCCGGCCAAGCGGGAACCGGTGACAACCAAGAGCGCCGGGAATTCATGGATCAGTTGCCGGAGGATTTCGCCAGCCGCGTCAAGTCGCTGCAGCCATACAACTTCTTCGACCCGCAGGCGCAGCAGGCTTTCGACGAGCTCATGGAGATGCTCAAGCAGCAGGCCATGGGCAACGCCATGCGCGACATGGCGCAGCGTTTTGCCGACATGTCGCCCGAAGAGCGCCAGCGTCTGAAGGAGATGATCGCCGATCTGAACCGCATGCTGGACCAGCAGGTGTGGGGCGAGCAGCCCGATTTTAACGGCTTCATGCAGAAGTACGGCGACATGTTTAGCGGCAATCCGCCGCAGAGCCTGGAAGAACTGACCCAACAGATGGCTTCGCGCATGGCGCAGATGCAATCGCTGTTCAACAGCCTGCCGGAGGACCTGCGGCAAGAGCTTCAGGAGATGCTGAGCGCGGCCTTCGAGGATGAAGAATTGGCGGCCGAGATGGCGGAATTACAGGCGAACCTCGACTTCCTCGCCGCCGATGAGCGGCCTTCCTACGAGTTCAGCGGCGACGCCGACGTGCCGCTGGAGCAGGCCATGCACCTGATGGATGAGTTGCAGAAGGTCGATGCCTTGCGGCAGCAGTTGCAAGACGTGGGCAAGGCCGGCTCCCTGCAGGATGTCGATGCCGAGACGCTGGAAGCCATCCTCGGCCCCGAGGGGCGCCAGGAATTGGAGAAATTGCGCGAGCTCGAGCGTCGTTTGGAGGAAGCCGGCTATCTGAAACGCCAGGGCGATCGCCTCGAACTGACGGCCAAAGGGGTGCGTAAAATCGGCTCCAAGGTGCTCCGAGACATCTTCAATCGCCTCAAGGTTGGCCGCAACGGCGGGCACCGCACCGACCGGCGTGGCATCGGCATCGAGGCACGGCTCGACACCAAGGCTTACGAGTACGGCGACCGTTTCAGCCTGCACTTGCAGCAGAGCCTGATGAACGCCGTGCAGCGCCAGGGCAAGGGTGCCCCGGTGCGCATTCTGCCGGAGGATTTTGAGGTGTATCGGGACGAGAACCTGAACCAGTGCTCCACCGTTCTGATGCTGGATCAGAGCCGCTCGATGGGGCTGAACGGCTGCTTCGACGCCGCCAAAAAGGTGGCGCTGGCCTTGCATAGCCTGATCAAGATTCAGTATCCGAAGGACAGCCTGCACATCATCGGGTTTGCCGAGTACGCCAGTGAACTGCGCCACGAGGACATTCCGTCGTCGTCCTGGGGCAGCTACTATCCGGGCACCAACATGCACCACGCCCTGATGATCGCCCGGCGGCTGCTGTCGCGCTCGCGGCACGGCCAGCGGCAGGTGCTGATGGTCACCGACGGCGAGCCGACCGCCCATCTGGAGCAGAACCTCGCGTACTTTAACTATCCCCCCACTTGGCGGACCATCGAGCAGACGCTTCAGGAGGTCAAGCGCTGCACCCGCGAGGGCATCGTGATCAACACGTTCATGATGGAGCAGGATCCGTACCTGATGCGGTTCGTTCAGGAAATCACCAAGATCAACCGCGGGCGGGCGTTCTTTTCCTCCCCCAGCCACTTGGGGCAGTACGTTGTCACCGACTACCTCAACAACAAGCGTCGCCGGCGCATCGCCTGAGCGGGAAGGCTCACCCCCCGCAGGTTGGTACTACCTACCTTACCGAGGGGGAGTCTCTGCCCCCTCTCCCCTGGAGGGAGAGGGTTGGGGTGAGGGGGAATTCGGCGAAGACGTTACCGGATTTTCCCCTCGACGTGGGTCAGGGTGAAAGTCCTGCCCGGCTTGCGGGGATAGACGATCAAGCGGGCGCGCGACAGCGTCTTCTCCACTGTTTCCAGCCACAACCGTCCCTTCGACACTTGCGGCGAGGTGCGCACCTGCTCGGCCAGCTTGACGAAGCGTTGTGCCTCGCCGTGAGCCGCGTTGACCACCTCGCTGCGATAAATTTCCGCCTCCTGCCGAATCCGGTGGGCCTGTGCGCGGGCACGCGGCAGCAGGTCCTTGGCGTAGCCGTCGGCGACGTTCATGAGCCGCTGGCGGTCCGCCTTGGCGCTGGACACGTCGTTGAAAGCGGCGATGACGTTCGGTGGCGGGTTGTCCTCGACGATGTTCACCGACACCACCTGCACGCCCAGTCCCATGGCATCCACCAGTTCCTGGGTCAGAACCCGCGATTCTTCCTGGATGCGCGCCTTGCCGCTGGACAGCACGTCGTCAACCTTCATGCGTGCAACCAGGAAGGTCAGGACGCTCTCGGCGGCCTTGCGCAGCGCCATGTCGCGAGATTGCCCGTCGCTGAAATCGGCGATGCGAAACAGGTAGTCGACCGGCGACTTGATGATGTACTGGATGGCTGTCTGCATTTCGACGATGTTGGTGTCGCCCGTGAGCCATTGCACCGCTTCCTCCATCGCCACCTCGTCCGCTTGTTCAGCCTCTTGATAGCTGAAGCCGACGGCCATGGTTTGCACCTCGGTGGTGCGCACGAGGCGCATGGTTTCCAGCGGGTACGGCAGGATGAAGTGCATGCCCGCCGGCAGGATGCTGCGCACGCGGCCAAAGCGCAGCACGACGCCCTGCTCGTTTTGATTCACCACCCAGACGCCAGTGACGGCCATGTGGCCGATGAGCGCGACGAGCAGAAGTGGCAGCAGGTACCAGCCGCGCAGCCGCAAGCCCAACCGGCGGCTGCCGGCGCCGTTGTCGGCCGATGGCGTGGCGTCGGGCGTCATTGGGCAACTCCTTCCTGCTGTTCCGTCAAGCGCTTCAGGCTGTCGGCCGCGTCACCGACCTGCGCCGGCACGGCGTCGCTGTTAGGCGTTTGCAGCACCTTGAGCAACTCGGAGTCGCTCGGCACCACGATGGTGGAACTCTCGCCAATAATGTTCTGGTACGCCTCTAGCGACCGCACGAACTCGAAGAATTCCGGGTCCTGGCCGAACGCCTCGGCGTAAATGCGGGTGGCCTCGGCGTCGGCCTCGCCGCGAATCTCCTCGGCCTGACGGCGCGCCTCGTTCAGCAGTACGGCTTCCTCACGGTCGGCGCTGGCGCGAATCTTCTCGGCTTCCTCCTCCCC